GTCTGGCCAGCATTCCATTCTTCTTATTGATATTCACTTACCAAGATTGCATCACAACCAGCCAACATCATGTCCATAATTTGCAATTTGCTGGAAATATCAATGCGGCCTTGTAATCAACATCCTCTTTTTAGCATTTGCACTATTGGCTATTGACATCTAACATTTCCTACTCGGTGTACTCATTAATGATTTCTTCATTTTTAAGTACAACGCAGTAATTTATCAGTCGTAGACAGGAAAGTGGCACGGGTCGTATATTTTTAGAAACTGTTCTTAATATCTCTTTTTTGATGTTCTCTTTCCCCTGTTGTTTAATCAAATTCAAAGATACATAGATCTGCATTTGTTTTTATGGCGAAATCTTATCTCATACAGAAACCGAAAAAGAAAGACAGTTATTAACACCTGCCTCCGAGAAATCCATATAAATACGCATGCAAATTAGACTCAGCGCACAAAACGAGTTCAATGAACATTCAAATCGTATCAGAAACGGAAATAAGTCTGGCTGAATGCGTTGAATGAGAGGGGAGTAAGGAATTCGTGTGAATATTGCATAAGCGTGGGTAGTCATGGGAAGACCCCTGTCCTATAATTTATAAATTAATCACTAAACGTTTAAAAGTGGACCACTTAAAGCGCTATTTCAGCACGTAAACAGAGCCATAGCGGGGTTAATTTTAAGATAGCTTTCGTAGGAAACGCAATCGGATAAGGTCCACGTACAAAGAACGTAAAGAAGGGTATAATCTTATCGGCCGACGAAGTGGGAACGTCACCAGCTGCTTTGGGAGTGGGTCGTGATTGGCATTACAATAATAAAAGTAGAAAACTAGGCTAACGCCAAGAACTTGTAGAATAATTTGTAAAAATATTTTAACGAGGTATGTCTGCTCTTTTTTCAGCCCGGTCTGGATGAGGTGGTGAAGAAGTGCCGCAATGTGAACCTCTTCTTCTCCACGGACATTGAGACGGCCATCAAGGAGGCGGACCTCATCTTCATCTCGGTGAACACGCCCACAAAAACCTGCGGCAATGGCAAGGGTAAGTGCTCATTATGCAAATATTAGCAAGTCCGAAGGAGTGAACATCCGTAATGAAAGTCTAGCTGAATGTTGGAATACTTTAGTGCCTAGTGTTGTTGTCATATTATGGCTTAAACATGTTGATCATAAAAGCTGGTTTTACAAACTGGCCAATAAAAATGTTGGGCGTGACACAAAGTAGAAGCCTGCCAGCAAATAAGTCATAGTTAGCACCTGGTTAATTGTTGTTAGCATTGAAATACTACCTTTTGTTTTCATGCTTAGTAAGGTATTTTAAAATTTATTTTGATCTTACCAAAAAAATCGAGTAAAATAATATAAAACGCCTTTGCTATTTCTAGAAAAAATATTGTGAAGTGCAAATTTAATCAGAATTTGTTTGCCAATCATAGATTACTTGGATTCAAATTAATTAAAAAACCATTCTACTCGAGCTTTAATTAGTTTCTCCTACTAATAACAAGATCAATAAATTGAGACTTCAAATAAGTCTTTAGGGCTCATATAAGAGGATTTCTTCTGTTGATCCTGGGTTGTAATACTTAATTTCACATACTAATGCCCTTCTTCAATCTCCAGGTCGAGCGGCGGACCTCAAGTACGTGGAGAGTGCTGCCCGAATGATCGCCGAGATCGCGCAGTCCAACAAGATCGTGGTGGAGAAGAGTACGGTGCCCGTGCGGGCAGCGGAAAGCATCATGCACATACTCCGCGCGAACCAAAAGCCCGGCATCCACTACGACATTCTGTCCAATCCAGAGTTCCTGGCCGAGGGCACTGCCATCAACGACCTCCTGAATGCGGATCGCGTGCTGATCGGTGGCGAAGAGACGCCAGAGGGTCACCAGGCGGTGGAGAAGCTGTCGTGGATCTACGAGCACTGGATTCCCAAGCAAAACATCCTCACCACCAACACGTGGAGCAGTGAACTATCCAAACTGGCGGCCAATGCCTTTCTGGCCCAGCGCATCTCGAGCATCAATTCCCTGTCGGCAGTGTGCGAAGCCACTGGAGCCGATGTCTCCGAGGTGGCGAGAGCCGTGGGTCTGGATTCCCGCATCGGTTCCAAGTTCCTGCAAGCCTCCGTGGGCTTTGGTGGCAGCTGCTTCCAGAAGGACATCCTCAACCTGATCTACATCTGCGAGAACCTTAATCTGCCGGAGGTGGCCGCCTACTGGCAGCAGGTGATCGACATGAACGAGTACCAAAAGAGGCGATTCTCGCAAAAGATCATCGAGAGTTTGTTCAACACGGTGTCGGACAAGAGGATAGCCATCTTGGGCTTTGCCTTCAAGAAGAACACGGGGGATACCCGCGAAACAGCGGCCATAACCGTATGCCAAACTCTTCTGGAGGAAGGCGCCGCGCTGGACATCTACGATCCGAAAGTGGAGCCCGAGCAAATCATCGACGACCTCACGCATCCTAGTGTCACGGAATCGCCGGAAAAGGTAAAGAAGGCAGTGCAGATCCACAGTGATCCCTACAGTGCTGTTCGAGCCACCCATGCCTTGGTTATCTGCACGGAGTGGGATGAGTTTGTGGACCTGGACTTCAAGCGCATATACCAATCAATGATGAAGCCGGCTTACATCTTCGACGGCCGCAAGATCCTCGACCATGAGCGACTGCTGCAGATCGGCTTCCACGTGCAGACCATCGGCAAGAAGTACCAGCGAGCTGGTCTGCTACGCTCCTGGGGCATTGTGCCCCAGCTTTAGGTGCGGAGGGCGGCGGAGGTGGTGGCATTTACACTTAAAGTTGGCGAAATTTCCAGTATTTGCGAGACTAAATTGTAAATATCCGTATCTGTTTCTGTATCTGAGTGTGTGTTAGAGTGGGTCGATTTAGAGGATAGAGAGTGGCTAGGGCATAAAATCTTTGACTATCAGTATGGCCCTGCTTAAGTTAAAGTATAAATAGAAAAGGTTTATTATTTTTAAGAAATTAACTATCAATTGACTTGGTCATTTCCTATGAAGTAGAAAAATAATGTATTCTTTATATGAATTTCTAAAGAAAATAAGCTTTGAGTTACTTAATCGGACATTTAAAACTACTTTGTTGTACATAATTAGAAAGCACAATGAAAATTATTAAGGTAAAACTTCGCCACTGAACTAATTGGCCAATCAATGAATTTAGGAATTTAAGATTAATAATCAATCTTAATCTTTTGAAGATTCCCTAATATCGACCCAGTCTAGCAATTGTGTTTTTAAATAGTTAAAGTATTCAGCTAGGCACTCCCGAAGCGGAAAACCCGAACCGTATTTGTATTCATATTCCTATTCCCCTGCCGATCCGCCACTCGAGGATCGGCAGTTGCAATATAAGCTCCAGCGGGACAATCCCCTCCTGCGGCGAGTCAATAAAAACCAGCATTTACACGAGAGCATGTAAACTTTATATAAATAACAACGGAGTCTTTGATTGAATGACCTCTTAGAAGGGTATCCTCTTGACTATTTGCCTGTACCAGAGGAAGGAGGTGGCCGCCGATAAGCTGAACCAGGTGACCAGGTACGAGAGATGATCGTTGCGCAGGGTGACGCGAGTCTGGCCACCAATGGGACCACTTTTGGCCGCTTGTGCATCGTAGACGGCATCTAGGAATACAGGAGCAGCTCCTGTGGAGGCACACATGCGTGCCAGATCGCGATACAGGTAGATACCGCCTTTGTGGTCAGGTGTAAACTGGGGACGGGCTTCTCCTTTCCTCACCACGGCGGTGAGCTCCACCTCCGCAGGCAGTTGACCCAAGGGACGCGTTTCCGGATCCACTTGCTTGCGGGACACCCATCCCCGATTAACGAGCACTATATCGCTGGAGGAAGTGGTGGATATATAAGAAATACTAGTGGTTTTCCTTAAAATGAACTTACTCTCTGTCAGCCAGCTGAAAAGGGGTCACTATCAGATAGCCGTTGCCTGAATCCCTCTGCGAGAAGAGTCCTCCTTGGGTTTCCACACCATCCGGGCGTATGAGTGACCTTGGACCCATTCTCATCTCCTTTTCGTGAAGGAAACGTCCGCGGATTTTGACCAGACGGTACTCCATTTGGGTTAGATCACTGAGACTGCAGGAAAAAGTAGTCTTAGTAGGGGGAAATCATATGAAATGGATCAGGGATCCTACTCCTCTGGCAAATCCACGGGAGCTGTGCTAAGCTGCTTGTTAAGATCCTTGATCAACTGCTCCTTCCAAATCTTGCGCTTTACTTGCCAGCAGCCCAAGCCAAAAGTGGTGGCGGGTATGAGCTGTGGATCGGGTTTCACCATAAATATTAGGTATTTATGTAGACAAGGGATTCGATTTTAACCCACCAGCAGGAACCATCCCAATGGGGCAATCTTTTCCTTGTCCTTCGCCGCCTTAGTGGGAATACTTGTGTTCCAGTCCACCGGCGATCGCTGTTGTGTCATCTTTCTGGTGATCAATTTCTGGGTATTCCTGCTGCACGGGATGCGGGATACCGTCTGCATATTAAAGGCCACTTGCCGGCCCATTTGGGTTCCAAAGCGCAGCATGTTTTGTGTTTTTTATCCTATTTTGCTAAGTTTATTTATTTATTTACATTTCCAATTGGATTGGAAGTAAGACCCTTGCTTGCTGTTATGCAGGACCCAGCTAAAAATGCGGTCACACTAGGTCTCCTCTCTAACATTTTGCTAAATTTCTGAATTAAAAATAAATTAAAATTTGGCGGTAAAATATTTATTTCAATTAAATATAAAGTAGCCACTAGAAAATTACATTTTTATCATATAAATTCCCCTAACAGTACTTTTTAACTAGATATGTTATTGCCAATGTTAATCAGTTAACAGTGCTAGCTCAACAGCCGAGTTGGCAGCCCTGTTGGGATCAGCTGTTTTGGACTGTTGTCGCGTGCAATTGGTTTTTTATTTTAACGATTTTGTTTTAGTGAATTTAGACCATTTTTTAAAATGCAGTGCACTCGTGCAGTTGCCAGGCTGGTCAGTGGCATCGCGAGAACACCATGGGTAGGATTCATCCCATTAAATCATTCCATTTATTGGCAAAACAACCGCTTGAATGCACCTGCCTGCAACTCTTATATAAACGGGTGCACAATTTTTAAATTTTCCATTATTTAGGTGACACAACAGCCCTATAAACAGACTCCAGCGATATTAGGTGTATTGGAGCAATCCTGTCGCTTGTGTTCATCCACCGGCGTGGTGGATAGTCCGAATAAAACCAAACCCGGCGCTGGAACACCTACAGAAGGCGGAATTCTGAAGAGAGTGCTCACCAAAGTGGGCTTCACACCGAATACGAAGGCGGTATGTTTACTATTTTTGACTTAAATATTGTTCAACTTAATAATAATTATCCATTTTCAGCGACTTAAGGTCACCAGTCATCTGTTGTACGAAAGCGTGGCTGATAAGATCAACTATGTGGCCTTTTTCCGCGACTTCAATCTGCCAAACACTTTCAACTCTTGGTTTTTGGTCACCGAACTGCACGTCTGGCTGCTGCTGATGCGCTCCATGGCCGAGGGTTCCGAAACGGGCGAGGACGGACGCTTCCTGCGGAACTGCATCGTGGAGGCCATGTGGGGAGATGTCAACACACGCGCCAAGAAACTGGGAGTAGGTTTAAATTTAGTATATTGTACTAAGATAGAGCTTCCATAACTTAATCATCAGTTTACAACTTGGTACTAGATCCATTTAGAACCTATATTTTTGTTACTGTTGGTTCCAGTTATGAATAGAACAAAATACGACCCTCTTATCTGTTTTTTTAAATCCCAAAAGATATTTTGTTAAGAAATTATATTTTCCTTATTTCTTAATGTATTACTAACATCCCAACTTTTGTCATCCCCAAACAGGCCCACAATCCCTCACGCACCCGTCAGCAGATCGAGACGTTATCCGAGCAGTTCCAAGCGGCTCTAATCGCCTACGACGAGGGCATCATGTCCGACGATCGGGTTCTGGCCTGCGCTCTGTGGCGCCGCTTCTTCGAGATGAACTGCGACGACTACGCGCAGATTGAGCGGCTGGTGAAGTACGTGCGCCAACAGGCCGCCATGTTGGACAGTTTGCCGCGCGATCAGTTCATTATAAAGCCCAAGGTGGCCTGGCTGGATCTGGACAAGTGCAAGGTGTAATCTAAGTTTTTTCTGTTTTTTAATAAAGTTGAGAGTATGTAAACTAAGAGCTATATGGTAAGGTCCTCTACGGACTGATTACTTAAGGCGCGCAGCTGGCACTTGAGCAGGAAGGCTGTGATCCTTCGCTCTGCCCGTTTTCGCTGGGGCTCCTTGAGCTGGGCCAGGACTTGGTCCATCTGGAGAAAACTGCTTCTGGGAGAGAGTATCTCCGCTGGTTCCTGATCTTCGTAGATGATCTCCTCTTGAATGACCTGTTCACTGGGCTCCTCGATGACCTCCTCGATTATAAAGGTGCTGGACTGTTGATGAACGTCTCCGTTTTCGTAGGTCTCCCACAGGAACTGCACGGGGGTCTCTTCCTGAAGGGTCTCCTCCTGCTTGCCGGGGGAGTCCCTAGCCTTGGGTTTGCTTTTGTTTTTCGATGGCGGCTGGTTCTCAGCCAGAAAGCGAAGGCGCTCCAAGTACGGCCAGGTGGAGCCGCTGGTGTCCGCCCGGCGGAACTCTTTGCGAAACTGGTAGTGCAGGTTGTTCCAGCGCATCAAGCAGAAGTCCACTGTGGGTGGTATCACGTTATTTATGTAAAAAAATGCATTTCTGGAATTACTTACCATCACAACCCATCCTCTCGGCTATCCGCGCCCAAACGTCCGTCTTAGCCTTCATGGCATCGTAATTCGAGAGCCCGGACCTTTTGTAGAGCACCGGATTTGGTTCCACCAGATCTATCAGCTTGAAATCGAAGGGCCTGTTTTTCTTGTAGCTAGTGCGCATTGTTTAAAGTTTAAAAATAAAAACAAATGGCAAAAACATTAGAGATGAGTGCAGGTCCCAAACGGTGAGTGACCATGTTTGAGGTATACCATTAACTCTAAAGTCGGCTAGCTTTTCGGGGACACCCACCTTTACCCATTTTTCAGTAAAATTGAATACATAAAAACGGTATAAAAGTATATACCGGACGGTATTATTTGATGGCTCACTCCACGGTCACACTGCTAATTTTATTTGACGACGTAGGAGCTGAAAAAAATTGTGGAGTGAAAAATTGAAAAAGTGCCCGAAAAACTATAATTTGGCCAGATATCTTACCACTTTCAGCACACCAGAAATGAATATGTAAGTCCAAACGCACTCATCCAAACGGGCAAACCCCATTTTCGGTCTGAAATCCAGGTGACCATGCGGCCTGGGGCCGAGTGTCGAAAATCAATAAATTCAAAATGGCAGTAAAAAATGAAAATTACATAAAAAAAGATCGCTTGGTGTAAATTTCAACATTTTGGCTACGCATCGAAAGGCTCAAAATTCTAATTTCATGGCACAAAACGCTCGTTGCAGGTACAACGGACAGGTTAACGCCTACGGCGGTGGCGGTGGAGCAGCAGGCGGCGGTCTACCCGGTGGCATGGTGCCCAATCGCATGGGCGGAGGAGCTCCCGGGGGCGGACCCGGCGGAGCGGGCATGTTCCAGCGCAATCGCTCTGCCCCCTATCCGGGATTCAATGGGCACGGACCCGCCAATGGGGGACAGCGCCGCATGAACGGCGGCGGTCCTGGCATGGGACCCGGAGGACCCCGCGGCCAAGAAGGCTTCGGTGGCCAGAATGGCGGTCAGCGCACTTCCAACCATGGCGCCCACTTGCCCAAGATCGTTTGGTCCGAGGTCAACCTCACGCCATTCCGCAAGAACTTCTACAAGCCCTGCGACTCGGTGCTGGCACGCACTCCCGGTGAGACAGAGACCTTCCTCACCAGCAATGAGATCACCATCAAGGGCGACCAGGTACCCACACCCAGTATTGAGTTCGAGGAGGGAGGCTTCCCCGACTATGTAATGAACGAGATCCGCAAGCAGGGTTTCGCCAAGCCAACGGCCATTCAGGCACAGGGTTGGCCCATCGCTTTAAGCGGACGGGATCTGGTGGGCGTGGCCCAGACCGGATCGGGCAAGACCCTGGCCTATGTCCTGCCGGCGGTGGTGCACATCAATAACCAGCCACGCCTGGAGCGTGGTGATGGACCCATCGCTCTGGTGCTGGCTCCCACTAGGGAGCTGGCCCAGCAGATTCAGCAGGTGGCCATCGAGTTTGGCAGCAATACGCATGTGCGTAACACTTGCATCTTTGGCGGAGCACCCAAGGGTCAGCAGGCGCGGGATCTCGAGCGCGGAGTGGAGATTGTGATCGCGACACCTGGTCGACTGATCGATTTCCTTGAGCGGGGCACTACCTCGCTGAAGAGATGCACCTATCTGGTTCTTGACGAGGCCGATCGTATGCTGGACATGGGCTTCGAGCCCCAGATCAGGAAGATCATGCAACAGATCCGCCCGGACCGTCAGGTTCTGATGTGGTCCGCCACCTGGCCCAAAGAGGTGCGCCAGCTGGCCGAGGAGTTCCTTAATAACTATATTCAGGTGAACATTGGGTCGCTGTCGCTGAGCGCCAACCACAACATCCTTCAGATCGTGGACGTGTGCGATGAGAACGAGAAGCTGATGAAGCTGATCAAGTTGCTGACGGACATCTCGGCAGAGAACGAGACCAAGACGATCATCTTCGTCGAGACCAAGAAGCGTGTGGACGAGATCACGCGCAATATCTCCCGTCAGGGTTGGCGCGCTTGCGCCATTCACGGCGATAAGTCGCAGCAGGAGCGCGACTTTGTGCTCTCGAGCTTCCGCAATGGCCGGCACTCGATCCTGGTGGCCACCGATGTGGCTGCCCGCGGACTTGGTGAGTAAACGTAGCCTTTGTGGGCCTCCAAAGGGGCCACCTTCCGTTTTTTCTCTCCGTAACCAAGCAATTGTTGCCTGTGGATCAATCAGCATCCCGTGGGGTTTCATTCATTATTTTGTGATTCGTCGTCGACGCCTTCCTGGTTCGTCTGGTCTCAGCGATCCGTCAGCGATGAATCGGCCAACACCGCCCAGCCTCTTCGCTCTTCCTTCCGCTCTGTTTCCAGAACTTTGGAGGTTTTTTTGGTTTGAGTCAGTTCCGGATTTCACATTTCATTCTCGATTTGAGCTCAAAACGAAATCGAAATGATTCTGGGGGTTTCATAAGCGGAATCGTTCTGCGGTTTAATATTCATTTCCAGCGTGTAAATAATCATGGTTGAAAGATTTTTTTTTGTTTATATTATAATAATCTAAATATGTTTTGTAAAAAAGCTCTTCCAGTACATTTCGCATAGCTGTATTTTGGCTTCACTGTTTTTTCTTAAATATTCTAAACTTATTTCAATTCCAGGATGTTCAGTTGAAAATTATGATATTTCATGGTGGGCAGCTAAGCGAAATTTACTGGGCTTTTCACTAGCTAACATCTATCAAACTGTGTAATTTAGTGAAAGTGAAAACCGGAAAAGGACCGATTGTTAATAATTTTGCATGTTCGAACTCATACCAGCCGAAGATCTCCTATTTATAATTTTTCGGGAACGTTTGGGCCTTAGTTCAATGATTTTTGAGTGGTTCGATTCCTGGTGGACCGCTAAGTTCCTCTCGATCCCTTTAGTTTCTGCTGAATTATTCTCTGAGTACGAAGAAATGGTGTGGTCTCAAATAATGAGGGGAATGTGTTTGTTCTCCATGCATTGCTGGTTATATGATGTTGTTTACCTTTAGTTTGTTTGTTGCTCTCTTGCTCATAGTTTTTAGTTGTGTCTCGTCAATCACATTTTGAGTAACCTTACCGTATAAAGCAACTTACTGTCAGTCAAGGAGTCAATGGCCCAGCAAAATAATCTAAAAAAAATCAAAAGTAAATAATCTCAGTGCACCCTAAAAAAATAACCACTTAATCCAAGGCGAACCGATTAAACAATGCCTAAAAACTATATGTATTTTTTAATTTTTTTTTTTAGTTAATAGAATAATATGAAGTAACTAATGTGTTGAGTAATTGCCACATTTTGCGGACCAAGAATTTTTTGACTGATGATAATTTTCTGTAGCTTATTTATGTATCATAAAGTATCTTATACTATATTACGTCGCTCCTTACTCTATGTATAAAACCTAAATTTGTGTGTGAACAAAAATATCATCAGCACCTTATATGAAATGGACTTCGATTTTTCAAATGGCAAAACAAGAACAAAAAAAAGTTTAAAGTTTAATGTTAAAAAGTTATATACACAAAGCAGTTAAAGAGAAAAGCTATATATACAAGTTGAGGGTTGAGTTATAAGTTTCTAGCATTGCTGAGATCCGTGGGATCTCCCTCATCACGACCCACTTGCGAGGACAGGATCTCCAGGGACTATTGCGCGTAAGCCTAACTCTAATCCATTCTAACCCTAGATCGTCAGGGTAAGTACTAGGCTAATTTACTTCTTCCTAATCATAGCAATATGTCCGCACCCCTTCCTCCCTCCCTACCATCGAAGTATCTAACCATATGTACCTTCGAAAGACCAGCACCCTCTATCATAAGCTTTGATCATTCATTTACTTTTATATTACCTAATTATAATATTAATTTTAATCAAGCCGTCTCTTGTATGCATTAAGCTTAAACATTTATATTACGATTTGTGTATTGAAAAAAATATAAGATATGAAAGTATGATGAGAAGAAAAGGTCGAGGTCCACATTTCTGCAGTATAGAAAAAACATATATCTATTTGCCAAAGATGTATAGTTATTAATATACGCTAATAGTATTGATGGCGAAATTTTTGTTCAAAGTACAAAACATACCAAATGAAATTTAAACCGAAATACCAACTGACAAACTCCATTCAACGATTCGATCAAGTATATTTTAAGTTCTATTAAAAAACGTACCCAAAACAAATGATCGCACCGAAACCAACAACACCACACTAACACTCACACCAAGACAGACACGGACCCACTAACATAAACCTCCACACACACACACAAATAAGTTTTCGTTTTTGTTGAATAGTTTCTTGAGTATTGAGAAAGATTCCTATTTTCGACGTATTGATTCGATTGGATATTTTTAACGCTTCTTTTCACACTTCTTCAATTTTCAAATTCGAAATGAAAAATATAAATGAAATCAAACAGACGTTGACGATGTCAAGTTTGTGATCAACTATGATTATCCTTCGAACTCTGAGGACTACGTGCATCGCATTGGACGTACCGGACGATCCAATAACACCGGCACCGCCTACACCTTGTTCACGCACTCCAACGCCAACAAGGCCAATGACCTGATCCAGGTGCTGCGCGAGGCCAACCAGGTGAGTTATCTTTGGGTCTATATATCCTACGGCTCGGAGTTCTCAGCTACTTTAACTACTTAAAATGTTTGAGGACAAGTTAAATGTAAAATATGTAACATTTTACCTAAAATGATTTTACCAAAGTTAGAAAGAAATTTCAAGATACTTTAGATTGGTACACCAAAAGAACAATTATAAAAGTTTAAATACCAAATTTCCCGAGGGCCAGTTGTTTTGTTAAAATTAAAGAACAGGAAAAGTAGTCGAGTCGCTTTAACCGAATCCCTTGTTACTTTATTAAATACTTCCATGTACTTACCTTATTTGTTTCCCTCCCCCAACAGACCATCAACCCCAAACTGATGAACATGGCCATGAGCGGGGGCTACAACAAGCGCGGCGGCGGCATGGGTGGCGGCTATCGTGGCGGCAACGGCTACCAGGGTCGCAACCAGCAGATGGGCGGTGGCTACAATGGCGGCAACAACTATCGCAACAACAACGGTCCCGGAGGCAACATGAATCGCAATGCTTTCAACGGTGGCGCAGCTGGTGGACCACCACGTTTCGACCAGAAGCCACGCACCTCGCCGCCAAACCAGGGCGGTCAGGGAGGATACCGCGGCCAGGGAGGCGGTGGCTACCAGGGCCA